TTTAAATTTCAATAATAATAACATGATGTGATCGTATAAAACCAATGTTGTATATATAACGAAATTATAAAATATTAAAATAACATACGAAGCAGAAGTCAAAATTGCTACTACTTAAGGCGACGTCTGCGACGGGAGCGGGACTGTTTTTTTGTTTCACTTATTGTCGTAGCTAACAAGCAGTATTTTTACGTTTCTTTTTATTATTTGTTTTGATATATTTTATTATATTTAATTCCCTTTTTTAAGAAAACCAAGTATCACTGTTTTTCTTTACTTCTTTTTTTTAGAATATTTTATCTTACTAGTGGATACAGACACGTAGTGGTGAATAACACTTTTAGAAAAAACAGGTAGTAAGACACTGTAGTACTTACTATCTCGTCCAGCACTCACTATCGTGGTCAGTCGAGAAAGAGTAAGACTTTGTCTAGGTAAAAGACATCTCACCCTCGAGCATCCAGTACTCGTTATCGTGGTCAGTTGTTCGGGAGTAAAGTAACCTTAGAGTTGTATAGTGTAAATCCTGTTGGGCTTTTGTTTAATTATCCTTTTGCGCAGCACTCGTTATCGTGGTCACCAAAATGAGAACTTAAATAAAACTCATACAGCAGGTGTCGATAATTTACTCGTTCGACGGTTAGAGAATCGGAAACCGTAATACATCTGTTATATACGTCGAGCCTTTGCGTGGCGTATGCGACATTAACAATAATATAAATAACAGCAAGTCCGCACTGAACTTATTATCTTATATTACATAATAATTATATTATTGCATGTAAGGCGATGTCATGCAAATATATATTATATTTCATTAAAATCGGCTGAACAACAACAAAGCAAAATAAATACGAAAGTCATCCATACAAATGTACAATATAATATAATAAACATATTATGTATGATATTTTTACTCCTGTACCGCGGTTGCCACGGGGAGAGGATGATTTTTCATGTTCACCGTTTACGTTTGTTTGATGGTTACCTATTACATATACCTATACTATGTAAATGTGTACAGTAAACATATTATATAGTATATACCTACTGCAGACGCCGATGAATTACGAGTTTAGAATTTCCAAGTGGGGTCGGGAAATCACTTTAATATGCTCTTTAGAAACCAACCATGTGGCGCGCGGCGTAATTAAAAACAAACTGGTAAACACAATTGAAAACCGAATTTAATATACCACGTATATACCTATATATTATAATAATATTATACAGTCGCCATAATATATTACATAGTTATGTGCTCGTGTCATTTCAAACCTTCGTATATTTTATATAGGTATAGGTAATATCGTGTACCGTGTACATACATCGTCGTCGTCGTCGTCGTCGTCGCATAACACTATAACCTACCTGCAGTCTACCCATATGCGTAAACAATAAACATTTAAAACGGTTTAAGTAGGTAAGCATATATATATATACATCGCATCAAACAATTAATATCATATACCTATACGTTTTATATTATATTGTTATAATATTACCCGTACGTTCAAAAATTACAACCACAGCTGCCTTTGTGCTCCGTCGAAATGCTAATGAAAAATCGACTTTACGACCACGTTATGTATTACATATTTATACGCACTGAGACTCACACGCGAGTGCGCGTAAATGGAAGCAATCAGTTTTCTCTCGATTAGTGGGGCTCGAGAAACACGTTAACGGTTTTCAATCAAATATCGCGTTCTTTGAGGGTGAAACGTTTAAATATACTTTCTCACTGCGCAATCATTAATACCAATATATCGTATAAAAGCAACCCTATTCTTTAGGCAGGTACAGTGATTTCAGTATATTATAGATAACCTGCGCTGCAGTGTACGTTTTATTTTTTATTTTTTACAATAATCATTGGTTTTGGAAATAATACATGGGTGGGTAATGCCATCAACTGTTTTGACTTGCTTTAAAATAAGAAACAAGCGGACAGGACGTATACACCCTCCAAACCGCAGCTGTACAGTAAGTTGTAGGCCTCGAGTGTACTGCTATTGTCGATGAGTATGGGTCACTGTATAATGGATGTGCAATGCATTTTAAATCATATTATGCTCGAAAAACGATTCTGACGTTAGACGCTCTGTCTCAGCCTGAATTACCAACTTATATAGCAATTTATTATATCATATGGGTAGTCTACAAGCAGTTCGCAGAAAGGTTGAATTAATCGTTGTCAAAAACATTGCATTTATTATATGAGTTATTGTTATTATAATAGTATAATATAATTAGATCATATACCTACTATTGTTATTACTTATTAACCAAAAGTCCGAAAACCTTTGAGCCAATGCCGACTTGCCGTAGACGGTTTGAATAGATTCGTGGTATAAATAGACAATAGCTTAAAACTAATCTAAATGCTATTGTGCATAGTAAAATATAATAATGTATTCAAAAAAATTTTGTCATACATAGATAAATAAAAAAAGACTTAAAAAGTAGAAGATTTAAAATTTCTATTAACAGCACAAAAGAAATATTTTGAAAATTATTTCAGTCTAGTAAATGTCTATTAAATGCTAAACTTAATATTTGGTAAACATTTAAATCGCAACGGTTATTTATTTTTCAGTTACAGTAAAAATATTTTTCAAAGAATTAGTTTTGTGTAAAATTCTAGTTCTTCAATATTTTTTTTTCGGTATCTAACCTATTATTATTAAAAGTACTGAAAATATTTTTATTGAGTACCTATCTACCAACTAAATCTAATTTTCTACCAGAAACCACCTTCGACGTTAAAGAGCAAACCATGTTTTCTTCTTTAAAACGAGTACACTCACGAAAAAAAACACATTATTGTAAAAGTAGTAGGTACATTCATAGCTCCTCTGCGAATCTAACCATTTTCACTTTGCTTATACAAATTTGCTATGCATAATATATTTATATAGTTGATTATAGATATTATAATAGTTATAAGCATTCGATTAATAGTATTTTTAACCAATAGTTGTATGTGTGCTTATTAACATTAAAGGACCGATTTGTGTAATGATACGTTCTAAAGCATAGTGTTTTTAATTTTCTAATCAACATTACAGTCAAATGAATATATGTGTCCTAAATTTAAGACAGAAATCTGATTACTGCAAACGTTTTGAGACACTCTGTGTTTACTTTTACGAGATGTATAGACGTTTACCATATAGTAGTGAATAAATGACTCTTTACAGATGATTATTATCCCTTCGTGTTTATTACAAACCATGATAATTTAGTCGACAATACAACCGAGTAATACACACACACACATTACATACATGTGACCACATCGGCTTTGTATTATTACTATTACTATTATTATTATGATTATTATTACATCTGTAGTGAGACATAAACGCGTGGTTATTGGTGTCACGTAAAGTTTAACCCTTAACTATTTATAATAAACAACACTTGCAGACATTCGACGTGGCTATCATCGTAATACCATGTAGGTACGTATAGAAATGTGTCTCCGAAAACGTAAAAATAAATTGTTTGCACTTTGCTCCACAAGACCAAATATGTATAATGTTATTATACTGCACGATACGTTTCAAATAAAACATATATTAGCCATATAATAAATTAAAGAGAATGATAGGTGTAAATACCTATACCTACCTATGTGGCTATGTGCTAACAATCATTACCGAGAGAGGAAATACGAAATAATTGTAAATACTCGTTTAACACAAGATTTAATTTTTGCCCTTGACACATAGCCATATCCAACCATTCAGGTTCAGATTAATGGGTGGCAGGGGGAGCGTCCCCGGGGCCCACTCTTGTAAGGATCCCATATTATGGTGTTGTCAGTTTAAAATGTAATTAAATGTTACTTAATTTGTACTTTTTATAGGGTTTTTTAAATATTTTATTTTAAGACAAACTAAATGAAAGAAAAATTATAACCATCTGTGTATAAATATACATAGTATAGTGCCATATCACAGCTAGAGGTTTTAACTAACTTATGGTTTTAGAATATCAATAATATTATTCCCTAAAAGATGACGACCACAACAATGAAAATAAAATTTTTTTTATCACTTTAGTAATTTGGCCAAAATTAATCAAACCAGAAACACATGATTGTGAGAATTTAAATTATAATATATTCAAAAGTAATAAATATTAAATATAATATTATTATATCTATAGAAATGTCTGAAACAAAAAAGCAGTTCAGTAGAGCAGAGAAGAGAAAAAAAGGAATATATTAACAATTTTTTTTTATATTATCCAAAAATTACGGGGTTTATATTTTTTCTTCTAAATTATATTCACATATATTTATTTAAGAAATATTTCAAGGGTAAATAGGAAAAAATATATAACACATAATTAGTATACTTTGATTATTTCTAATAAATTTAAGATTAAAAAATATTTTTTTTTATCAATTTAGTTACTTAACTATATTTTTAAATAAACACATTTTGTTAAATTTTGTATTTTGTATTTGTTTAGGTACGCAAATTGCAACGTTTAAATTATTTCATTTTCGAAAAGTAATAATATGCTTACCTGGGTACATAGACATCCAATACGTATTATTTAAAAATGAGTATGTATTTTTTTAAAGTGTTAGTGCAGTGTCATCATAATGTTGTATTAAAGATGATAATATATTTAACAATATTTTATGAAAGCTTCTAAGTAATAAAAAAGTGTAAAGTTTAATGAGAGTACCTAATATTATTACGTTTACGTATTATGTATAATCAATCGATTGTGATAATTTATATAATATATCATGAATCCAATGCTGCCAATATTATAATACTTTACTGTTCAAACATATTTATAGATAAGAACAGGACTGTATTTGTAATCCACTGGGGAGGACCATAACCGAGTATCACTCTACGTCTTAATCTGGGATTGCAAAGAAAAATCGTTTCCTCGTCTTTCGTATTATAGCTCTGTTATACTAGGTATTCGAATAATATATCATAGGTTCTCATAGTATAGCTTATACTTACAAGACTTTCAATCTAGGCAAATACACGTTGAACAGCGAGTGAGATATCAACTTCAGGTTCGGAGCGCTACGAATAACACTGAAACAGAAATATAAACAACATATTTTATCATCACGTCTTGTTATTGTAGTGTTTGGTTTCGATAAATCATTAGACGTATATATTTATTAAATTTTGAAAACAAAAGTTGCAGCTACATAGTATGCGCAATCCTCTGACATTTGTTTGATAAAGTGCGTTAAATACGTATCATACATATTATATGTAGGTATATTAGGGAGTTTTTTAAAAAATGATATACCTTATTTTTTTATTATTATATTCTAAAATATTTGTGTATCTGTTGGACTGCCAAAAATACATCAACGATATGATTTATTTTTTTATGCAAATCAGTTTGTATGTAAATTTTTATCAACTTTGATTAATATTATATGTTTATTTTATTCATATTAAATATTTAAATATACGTTGTCATTAAACCCTACCTATATTATCGAAATATTAACAGAGTTCTATTTTAACTTTTAAGACTTAGTTTTTGTGAAGAATTCAACAATAATTCACATAGTATGCCAAATAATATTTGTATTACCTTAAAATAAATCATTAGAAGATTTTATTTTATATTTTAAAACAGTTATAAAATAGAAAAAGCCACGACCGTGAACATGCTTCTCGCACTAAATACTCATAATACATTGATACTTGAAAAAAATAATCAAATTTTACATGCAATTATATTTTATGTGTAAGTTAGTAAGTTCCATGTATGATTATTAAATATGAAACATTCTAGTTGAAAACAAACACTAAACATGCTCAATTTAAAGATTTCAAAATGTATTTTTTTTTTGTAGTTAAAAAATTGTCATTAATTAAATTCAAATCGATTTATGCTAAAAATATAATGAGAAGGACTGTCATATAATTTAAAATGTATGTCCACTTTAGGCACAGTGATTGATTACGACTATTTACAGAAAAAAATCTTCCTTTATGTTAAGATGTGACATACATTATATGAGGTTAATCTACAACTCTTTCGGGAACCCTTGTCAAAATGCCTGTCACGTCTGAAATGATTTCCTAGTCTTTCCCTGCATAAAAGGATTACAAATACCAAATTACCCATGACCACTTACTGGTTTTAATTTATGTTATCGTAATGCATAATTTAATTTAACTTACTCACACCTATGACGTATATACTTATAACATTTTACTGTGTAGAAATGGAAATCATAAGTTTAATAATATTATAATATAGATTAGTAAGTTACTAAGTTATTATTATTATTATTCATTAGTCAATTTTTAGTCTTACTGTTCAATTATTTGGAAATAATTATATTTATGATTTTAGACGCACATAATATAATTACTTACATACACGTACCTATACAAGTATACGAACGATTTTATCAATGTATTTATGACAAATTATTGAATTAATATTAGAATTTTAAGTAGCAACTTCATATTACACCCTAAGGTCATCGTTATTTAAATTTAAAAACAATAAGTAACACATTTTTAACATTTTGAAATATTAAAGAGTAACTACTTTGTCTTTACATGAGAAAAATAAGTTAATATTTTAATAGCCTATAGCCTATAGGCTATAGGTACACCTAAGACCTATTTATGCGAGAAAATAAAATTATAAACAGCGAGTGTTTAAAAAATCATTAGCATGATTATTAAGATTTTAAATATTACAAATAATATAAACAATTTTCATTTCAGTTCTTGAATTCCACGTGGTACTATTTTAATTTTTTTCTTAATATTGTAATCAATCTGTATTTTTAAACAAAGCAATTTTTTTAAACCTTACACATAATAATAACCTTTTTATAATGATTTTAATTACGGGTTTAACGATATGAGTAGTAACAATATTTTGTAATATACTCAAATAAGTAGTGATAAATAAAATTAAAATAATATGTTACTGAACTCGTTTACTTGCACTTTGTAAAATCAGCTAAAATAATTTGAAAAGAACCCATTAAAAATATGACGTATCCAGGTATCCAAACATGGATGTTTAAAAGTGCCAGTGTCGAACACAGTCAATTTACTCTGAAGGTACTTCCACGTCAAACACACATTATTAAAGATGGTTGAAAAAAAAATATTAATATACATAAATATATTATAAGATACACCTACAACCGTGAATAAGATCACTCAAATAGTCAAAACCAGTAATAGAACATTTCACCACAGATTTGAGTAGAGGAGGGGGGGACACCAAAGAAACAGTGATAATTAAAAATAACTCTAAGGACTTTTTATACTTTTCAAGTATAATACGTTTAAATAATTCAACTTTATTATTAAATTTTGTACAAGATTATTATTTTGTTTGAAACAAGTATATTTCAAGATGTTGCGTTGGAAGATGTACGCTTCTAGAGAGAAATATACATATATAATATTGTATAGGTAGGTATTTTACGGTAACAAGATGTGATTCTTTTCTGAATAACACTTTTTAGATGACTAAAACTAGGTATGCATTAAAGCGTTCTGAGTATTAAATTATAATAATATCCTTTTGATTGGCGTTGGACGAAGCGTTTACCGAGTGTCTGTGTCGAAATTCCAATTATTCTCTACAATACCTTAAGAAACTGCAAAATCGACTTTATCATTACCAAAAATAAGGACAGAATGTATTTGGGACTTACAAACTATTTAAACCGTATAAAATGTACAAGATGATTTTTCAGCAATAAACACTCATTATTTTTAAAAAATATTAACGTTTGTGAAAATATTATTTTACATAATTTAAGTAGTATATATATAATACAATTCATTACAAAAAAACATTTTTTTTGTTTTTTTTTTTTTTTAAATTATATTTTCACTATTTATATTTTATCGTTAAAATTTATAAAGTTTTTTTACTTTTTCGAATATCAACATCCATTTCTAATTTCATATTCAGGAGAAGAATATTTTTTTGAGAATTTAATGTATAAAAATCGAATTTCAAACGAGCAGTTAATTAATCATAACACTTGTAAGTTGTAAGTTTCGATAATCAGGACAGAGTAATCGAAAATTACGGTGTACTCGTATTTAAATATATTTGCCAATAAACGATTGAAACAGAGGAGTAGTATTGTTAAAATAGAGCCTCTTCTGTTGTCGGTTAAACAGGAAAAAAGAAAAAGAAATGGTACTAAAACTACCACTCAACTCGTTCAAAATGTAAATGCTTATAATTTATATCTTATTGATTATGTACTAATTTAAAATTTGATTTGTATATGTCAAAATTCTTAAAAAAAATGTTCTTCTAAAATTCAGAATATGAACTTTAAAATGGATGTAGTACAAAAACGTTAGTTGAAAACTTTTCGGTAGTTTATAGGAATTTACTATTAAAAAAATCAAATAATTTTATTAGAATACTTATTGCTATGTATAATAAAGGATACAAAGTCGCATGTTGTGTTTATTATTTTTGTCTTATTATATTATCATACCTAGTATTATCTATGGTTCAAAACGTATAATACGGATGTCTAGTTTAAAAACGTAGATGAAAAAGTTCTAAAATCTCATAAATCACACGGAGCGTAGTATGAAAACAAATGAAATAATTCGTAGTTGTAATCGTTCTACGAATTCCGCAAATATATAAATATATACTATTATACAGTACAGTATGACATAGTTGTGCACACAACATATTATTGTATTAGTATTTAGTAGTATAGTATTATTATTATACATAGTTTAGGTATACAATTTAAGTTGTAATTATAAATTATTGATTTTGCTGTATGGTTCAAGAACAAAAATAATGTCTATAAATCTTACAGTTGATGTAGAGTTGGAACAAAAAAGTTTAATCAACTCTTAAGATAAATATTATAAACCAGAACTAATAATTTGTACGTAGTCACACCATTATAATATTCCGAATACAGTTTGGTATCTAATTCAAATGTTATTTTTCACACTGATAATGTGATATTACTGACCCAGTGACCCAGTATAAAAGCCTCGTGAAAAATAAACCAAGCGCTAAAGTTTTTATTTTTGTAACGTTTATCAATCGATCATTGGATGATACCTGCAAACACCAACTAGAATGTGTATTTAAAAAAAAAAAAGAATAGAAAAACATCAAATAAATCACCGAAAAGACGTATTGCATGGGTTACGTTTCGGCTGAACACCAAAATACGTATACATCCCACTCTGAAGTTTGAGGAAAAAAGTTTTGATATTGAAATATTCATAGAAAATACACATATCACATGTGTTGTGTGCGTGCGTATATGAGCGTGTGAGCGCGTGTGTGTCTGAGTTTTTTATTAAGTCTACTTACTGTTAAGGATTCAATTAAGTCAGTCAATTTAAAGATTAATTCGAACCTCTCCGCTCCCGGGGGAAATATTTTACGTGTGCAAGCAATTTGTCGGTGAATCAAAATTGCCGGCAAAAAAACTTTTGGTTACAGTACGTGTCATACGCTGCACACGCTGCACAGTACACAGTGTATGAAAATATTACAAGAGACCCTGTTTGTAGCGGAACTTTAACAATAAAATTAATGAAAGTAAAACATTTTTTCGATTCAAACATTATTTTTTTCATTTTTCGAAATTCTTTAGAAAAGTTAGTTTTTCTCGCTTTTGCAAGACGAACTTCCGAGTGAAACTAATGGAATTGATTAAAAAGAGTGCACTATAATGATTTATTGTTTTTGCTCTGCTAATGGCAATATGAAATAAACAACAGTTATTAAACGACGTTCACGCTGATCGATTATCATTAGCGATACGAATATTTTAGTTGATACCTAAGTACGTCTTCATTTTTTAGAAGTTAACACCTAAATAAGAAATATTGAAACCATGGACTCTACTTGTATCTAAAGTATCGTGTAAGTCGATTGCTTATAAATCGTTATTTCCAAGTAGTTACTGTAGTTACTATTAACTTGTAGTACATTTAGTACATACTTAACAATTATTTATGTTAAATTGTTAAATTAGGATTAAAGGTCTTATCTACTACAAAGTTATATATATAATATATATGCATGGTGCCATGGTATATTTAATACAAGATGACCCGAAAAAATATTATTATATTAAATTTTTATAAAAATAACTATTAAAATTTAAATTTAAATTGACTCTTCGAACACTTTTGTAAGTAATCAGTGTTAAAGGGTTTTTGTTATGTTACATAATATGTTTGAGACAAAAACAACAATAACACTGCAATAGCATCTTGCTGTTCATAATGAGCAGCACATTTAGCACTCTATTGAAAACAGAAAAGGTTCATCAGAAAATTGCTTTAATACATATGTCACTAATAGTCATAAAATTATTTAGGTTTGGTACCAAATTTTTGGGTACTTACATAGTTCGTAGTTGACGCATATTATCGAAAATGCCATTTTCTATGTTAACTAAATTTCTTAAATCTCTTAATGCTCTGTAAATAAATACAAATAATAATATTATCAGTTGTAATATTTAAAAAAAAAACTAATAATATGTTTCAGTATAGAGCTATTTTATTTAAATCAATATTAAATGTAATTTTCTAATTTCATAATAATTATTATTTCGGGACCTAGTGAGATTGTGAAACCTATTTATGTGTATAGTATACATTTTTTTAAATTACTAATCATACTACTATAATTGATAGTTATTATTTGTTTTTGCTTCAAACAAGTTTTTGTACTTGTAATGTTTTCCAGCTTATAGATTTAAGTTTAACAAAATGTTTGAATTAAATAAATATGATATTTTATACAATTTTTGGTTAAACTGAATAGTTTTTAAATATTCAAAAGAATTAATGATTAGACGATTCATCTGAAGACTCAACTCTCAATGAAAACAGTTTAACTCCTCCGAATGTCAATTTCCTAGCTGCCGAGTATAGTTCAATAAATAAAATCAATTAATGAAAAATTTATGACGGCGTAGTACTCGGGTTGAATACTTTCAATTTACAAAAATTATGATAATTTTTAAATCAATAAATGAAAATTAATGAAGTCATAAAGAAAATTCCAAAAGATTACAGTGAACAAGTTGATATACACAAAGGTACTTTGCTATTATTTTTATACGTGTTTAACAAAAACGTTATCTTTAAAATCATAATACATTTATAAATCTAATAATCACGAAGTAAGTCATAAAAAAGCTGTAACGTTTGCTACAGAGTGGGTTACTGCTTTTCAAATGTAGGTAATATATTTTACGAGATAATTATTACTTTATAATTTTAAGTTATTGTCTATTATTATCTGATAATTGTTATCAAGTCGCTATCACCTTATATCATATGATCTAAGCATCAAACGAATTACGTCACAATACAACAATTAATTATCTCGGATCGTGAGTTTTGTCTGAACTCCTCTCATTAATTACAATATTTATGAATACGATAGGTGTTCAGAGGTTCTAGCACTATAATAGTAATTGTGTAAAAGGACTACATATACGGAAAATCTATTTTCCAAATTGGGTCATTCTTTGATTTCGAATTGTATAAAATAGTTTGAATACCAAAAATATTGCCAATACTTTTTTATCTATATGATGATTTGTACTTAAAATATAGTATGTATAGTACCCATACTTACATGTCTCTAAGACTTGTTTTGTAATTGGCGAATGAATCCTTTGTTAAATTTTCAATTGAAGCACCTCCAATTATCCTTAAATCAAAAATAGAAATGAGTGTATGTGTTCAAGTAATATATAAGACATTTTATCATCGTACAACTCGTGTAAAGGCGTAGGCAGGTCATTTGGAATTTCTTTGAGTTCGCTGTGAACACATTGGCATTTCACCGATTCGTTATCATTAGTCGTGTTAAAACATTTGCAAAATTTATGAGCAATGGCGATTTCCACACTTCCAACCGAACCACATAAGTAATCAGCGAAAATCAAAATAAGTGCTACAACACCAGTGATAATGTAGTTGGGTGGCATTTTCAGACCTAGAACATAAAAATTTAATTTATTTTTAAAAATATGGATTTACAGGTAACGATTTTAAAGTTGGATCATAATAAACAGTACAGTGGTCACCACTTAATGTAATCACTTCGGTACGGGACATAACTGATAACATAATCCGATTGATGACACTAAACGAAACTCGAAAGTGTAAAAAGTTATAAAAAATAATAAAACCTACGTTACACATGTAGGTATAAATTTGAAATGTAAAAAAATGAAATATAAATAAATATGTATAATATGGGCGGATGCATACAAACGCGATACTGGTCGACGGGCAGTGATGGTACTGTCTTAATGCTGTACGAACGAAAGGTAGATAATATAATCATATAAATGTGTATACTGAATAGACATTTATATTTTTACTACAATTTTTATCTTTATTATGAGACATTTGACGAAAACATTGATTTTATGTTACAAAATGATGATTTTATGACCTCATACTGATAATATTACGCGGTGTATTGATTACAATAGCCGACATAATTTGCACATATAAGTATACATCCGGCCCGTACTTATATACTTTTCGATAACAATAAACGTTTGATAACACTAACCGCGGTTATAATAAGCGGCGACCACTGTATTTTGGGGGATAATACATTGGTTTTAAATATTGTAATTCAAAAGCTAAAAAACATAGGAACCAACTACATTTTTATTTTTATTATGTAATAGTATAGAATAATATACATTCCGGAATACAAAGGATATTTTATTTATATCTTCTAGACAATACTAACTACTACGGTTTTGTATTGTTAGTAATAAGTATTCAAATCAAAATTAAAATCACATTCTCATATTTTTTTCATTTGCACATAGTTTTTAATGTAAACATTGGTTTGTCGCACTCTCCATTCTTGGGTGCAGATTTTACATACAAAGTCGACGATAGACCTCATTAATTGGTCCATAAGATTAAACAAACAAATCCGAATGGATATTAATATTATTGTATGGTTACAATGATTATTTAATATATTTTAACAGTTTGTACACTCATTGTAGGTAGTATTATTACGTATGTGTTGACGTTGAACGGAAAAAAACAGATCTCGCAGGAGTTAACACTTAATACCAAAGTTAGTTACAGTAAGAAAACTTGCTATACGTATAATAAATGTATACATTTTTGCAATTTAGTGATTTAGTGAATTGACACTCGAGGAGATTAGACTAGGACTGGCGGTATTTCAATTGTTGATACCGGTATTCGGTTTCTGTTTACTATTACGGTATATACGGTAAGAGTATCTCGGTAACCGGTATTTTCGATGAATTAAGAAATTCAACCCAGGAAAATGTTACATCTATAAAATCGGTAATTACCGAATCAGGTTTCTAAAATACCGCCAGTAATAAGTTAGACTATGATAGACTAATAGATGTGATGGAAAATATCCACTGTCATCTGATCACTGATGTATATTTATAAATGTTTTATTTGTTTATAATACTTAGAATACGATAACACAATTAAAAATGTATGCATTCACAAAATAAATCATATGTTAGAAATGACTATAATATCTATTATGTTATGTCAGGCATAATAAAATATTGAAAGATTTTTAGATGAAACACAATACAAATTAGTCATTACTCATTACCTAAATACAACTTGTTTAATAGTTGCATCATAATACGCATTAATGACTACCGTTAATAGTTGTAATAGTCAGTTATTATTATGGGGTGAATTTTTTTAAATTTTTATATGATGAATATTTCTTCATTTTGTCAGCTTGCAAAACAAACTTAACAACAATACAAAGTTTTTTTTTCACTCTAGATTAGTGATTACTATTAACATTCGCATAGAATTATTAAGTGGAAAACGCCGTGTCTGTGGAATTACTCTATTGTTGCAAAAATACCTAAAAAAAAAACCACGAAACTTTTCCTATTAAATTGTTTAAGTCCCATCTGTAATTTTTAGAACACCAAAGTCTAGATATTATACGTGAATTCTCGTTCGAAATGTTTTTAAACAAATGAACGACCAGGCGTAATTCCCCTGGAGAATAACGACGTGCTCGACACTGAATGTACTTGTCATTTGGGATTTTAAATTATTAGAAAAAAAACGTAACATTTTGTTATTCGAAGAAAAGTTCATGTGAATAATGACGCATAAAATAGAAATAAAAACATTTTTTGTGTTATTAACATATTATATAATAGTGAACTGAACTTAAGACTAGTAATTTATTTGACTATTTAAAATGTGACTTTGAATAATAATTTTTCTCTTACTTTCTGTAAAAAAATGTGTTTATACTTGAGTATAAAAATATTTTTTTGTTTTAAATTTTTATTAACATTTCGAAAATATGTTACAATAATAATGGAGTTAATTGTATAGACAGTTAAAATTATAAATTTGTCCAATAATAAAATAACCTTATTTATTTCGTGAAACAATATAATCATTATTGTTGTTATGAATATCATAAACCTCATATTACTTATTTACAAAATAATGTTTTATTGCAAATTAAACTGGTAAGTATTGTATGCAAATAAAATGAAGAGTGTGTTCACACATAACGACACGTAAGATCGATAAATTATTTATTATAAGACGTTTATATAATATAGCGCACGTGATGGATTTCAATTTTATATTTTATATTTTTATCGTTGAAACTGACAATTCGTACAATTTTAACCTGACCTTCTTAATACCTATATATGTACATTGTACACTCGTATTTAAAAGTAATAAAAATTGCAAGTCCACATCGATTTGAAAGTAGTAATATGAGAAACTATCATAACGAGAACCGCACGATCATTTGTGTCACGAATCACGATCATTGAGTAGGGCCCGAAAATGAATACATTAATGTGTATCTTTTGTTTACTTCGAGTTATTGTTGACAATTCGGTGTTATTTTTTTAAAAGCAAATAAAATCGTCTAAAAAATCAAATTTTTCAGTTTTTCAATTAGTTGCAAAATGATCAACTTGAGACATCGATAAATTGTTATTATTTGTTGAAAATCCAAACAAAAGTTTTTTTTTTGTTTTAAAAATTAAAAATTCGTAGTTGTACATGTCCTATAATATTATGCTTGTGTGGATATTTTCGATGTAATATTTATTCACGAGCACCCTTTTAAAACCGTGTTATCGTATGGTTCATAATATTATGTATAGGTATGTCGTGTTACATTAAGTCACTCGAGAATCTTATAGCCGGTATGATTATACTTGTACATTAACGATTAACCGTTTAAATAGAGTTAATACACTAATAAATTTCAGGAACAATTTGTTATCAAACGCTAGGTAACCGAATTTTAGGCGGTTAACGTAATTTTGACAAAGCGAGATACGAAAAAAAAATGCTCGCAAGACGCTGCACACGAAAAAGTCTACAAAACACCAAAACACAAACGTACACGATATCATAATAATAAATAATTGTTATCTAAACCGTCATCAACCGGTGGTGGTTCGAACTGTCTGGTGAAATATCGCGGCCTAGTCTCGGTGTGCGGGTGAGATAATAACGCATTAAACGCAATAATAATAATATACTTAAATCGCCCATATAATAATATATTACGCGACGAAATGGCCGTACGGCACGTTTTATTTTCGTCGTTAATAATTCAAATCTCCATCCTTCCATTTCAGACATTACACGGGATTTAGGAGGTTAAGATTTTACTATCGAAAAACACTTTATTATATTTGAGAAGAATACGACGCGTCGCGAGTGTGATCTGGTTAGGTGACCACGGTACATATATAACCAGACTTAAAATAATTTATGAATCTATTATTCATCGTCTATCGTTTTCCAAATATCGATCATTACAAAGTTATAGCTGCACCTACCATCAATGTTAACGTTAAATCCAAGAGTTTTAATTCATCAAGAATATATGCTCCCCACGTACACGAAAAAAAGTTGTTGATACTATAAATAATAAAAATGAAAAAAAAACACTTAATTATACATAACACATCACTTATAGGCACATATATATTATTATGTAGTAGAGGTGCACAATACTAAAACGTAATTTATTTATTTTCTCTTATTTTTATCTCCAATGTTATTGCACACTAACATTTATTAACGTTTAAAATGAAATTTTTCAGTAAATCAAGAAAATTTCAGAATTCCAAACCAGCATAATAATAGCTATAATTTATATATATATATGTGGACTTCGGCGCCAATCGAGAATGAATCCGTTAACATGTTCAAAGAAAAAAAAAACCAAAGTTACATTTTTCAATTATTGCTCTCTCTATTTCTCTCTCTTGAACTTTACGCCTTAAAGACTTTTTAGAATTCATTTATTCCGTTTTGTAGAAGATTGATTGATTTTCACAGCCATAAGGTTATTATTGATCGGTACGATTGAGTTTAACAGAGAACGTTTCCTGTATTAACGAAAGAGAGAAACAAATTTAGATATTTATTTAATGATTTTAATGTTTTAAACATTTATATTTTTGTTACACTGCACAACAATAACATATCAGGTAATATTTAGTGATGAAAAGTGCCTCATTGATTTATTATTCAAGTGAAACTTAATATATGCAAATCACGTTAACGGATTCAACGACTTTTTTTGAACAGAACTTAAAATTTTGGAGTGAAAAAATTAGAAGAATTAGCATGTAATTAAAAATTAAATTTTTTAAAGGTTAAAAGCTGTCATGTGTCAAAAATAGATGCAAGTTTAATATACAATGAATAATGGTTAGTTAAAACGCTAAGTAATTTAAACAAATAATTAATAATATTCTGTTTTTATATTTAAATATTTAATGTTTATTATCTAATGATGAAAGGGTGCGTTTGAATTAATAAATTTGTAATTATTCAAATTAAATTAAAATATTCTAGTATTATTTAAAAATAAATATATTTTATTTAATCGACTATAAAGAAGGATAAACTTATTAAGGCGTTGAAATAGTTTTACTTTCTAAGGGC